GAACGAAGGAATCGATTTGACTCACAACCCTGAATTCACAACTTGTGAATTCTATATGGCTTATGCAGACTACTTTGACTTGATGGAAATTACAGAGAACTTGCTTTCAGGTGACGTATGCCATGTTAATTAAAAAAGAGTAAGAATCCCCAGAAGAATTGCATGTTATGTGCCATACACTTCTTCTAAACTTCATGTTCCTTTTGTAGGGATGGTGAAACATATTACTGGAGGTTACAAGATCACTTACCATCCAGATGGTCAAGATGGACAGGCCTATGAGATAGATTTTACCCCTCCCTTCCGGCGAATTAGCATGGTGCACGACCTGGAAAAGGTCTTAGGAGTGAAATTTCCACCAGCTGAGTGTTTTGAAACTGAAGGTTAGATGCTGAGTATGAAGGTCCTGTAATTCTTCCCTGACAGAAAGAGGGCAAAAGGTGTCGCGTTCTCAGCCTGCAGTCTGTGAAGTGCTTTTTTGAGGTGGTACTAACACATGGGATTGCTTTACCCAAGAATCCAGAAAGACGCCTTCATGCCTTGCAGCCTTTGGCAGGATGTGACTCTTTTGCATCTCCTTTGTTGAGTGTATGTGATGCTGTGTACTCGAGTGGCATGATGGGGGGAGTTCTTGATCTGTTGAAGAGACTCAGGTTTGTACTTCCTATTTCTACTGTCTTTTGTGCCATTGAGTCTCCATGCCTGTGATCATAGGTTAGGAGTATGATTATTTTGGGCTTTCTTCAGAATGTGCTTATGTGCTATTTTATTCATGGAATCCAGACCCATAAGGAAACAATTTCATATACTTTTTAGTGATCCCCCCCCCCTTTATTTTTCCCCAAATAATAATGCCCAGCAGTCGTATGGGGTTGTGTTTAACTGTTGTCAAATGTCTGAAATATAAAATAACTTGTATCTAGTGTAAACTGTTTAAAAACAAACACTATTTTTGTAGATTGACATTTAAGCTCATGTTTTCCGTATGTATACCATTAAGATCTTATAAATCACTCTAAGACACGTAGAACAATGCAGAAATTAAAAAAACATGGTTGCCTTGGTTTGGTTTCTAATTTTTGTCTGCAACAATTTCAGAAACTCGCAAGTTCTTTGATGACCTTTGCGCAGACAGAAATGTTGAGTGTCCACCTCCCAGGACAACAGCCAGGCTTCTTGACAAAGTAAGTAAAGGTGGTGTTTTTATAATCCTGATGTTTTTGAGGATCTATCTGTATCAACAGAAGTCTCTTCAGAACAAAAGTTTAGCTGCGTCTGGGAAAACACACTGAAATGCACTTCAGCTATTTCTATATTGCACTTGCGATGTCAAAATCTTTTTTGTGTTGTGTACACCAAAATGCAGCTTCCTGACCCATGCTTAATGTGAGAACTAGAGGATTCTTCAGTAGGGAATGGGGGGAAGTAGGATGTTTGGGGAGGGCAGTGATAGGAAAGTGGTTACATAATTGTTTCGGTTTTGCTTTCCCAGTTAGTTGGTGAATTCCTGGAAGTCACTTGTATCCACCCTACATTCATCTGTGATCACCCACAGATCATGAGTCCTCTAGCCAAATGGTAAGAGTATGAGACACGGTCAGTGTGTAACTCTCTTAAACCCTCTACTCCTACTTTATTAAGGGGGGGGGAAGTGTCACATATGTGAAAACAGAGACTTTGATGTCGTATCCTAGCTTGTGAATTCTGACACCAGCCAACACAGACGTTGGTTCCTGAGCTGTGACACCCGTCACCCGGGAAGAGGTGTGCTGGCTGCTAAGTGTGGGAAAGCCTGCTGAAGTAACGTACGTGCTCTTTGCTTATGTAGAGAGGTTTGTTTTAAGGTATGGTTGTTTTATCTTCTTCGCGCAGGCATCGCTCTCATCAGGGACTAACAGAACGCTTTGAGCTCTTTATAATGAAGAAAGAAGTGTGCAATGCGTACACAGAACTTAACGATCCTTTCCGGCAGCGGCAGCTTTTTGAGGATCAGGCCAAGGTACGGTGTCTTGCTGCTGGTGAATCAATGATATAGGCATGTGAACAAAGAATATTTCCTGTGTCTATTCCAAAACTGTCCTTAGTCCCTACAGCTGAGAAGGGTTGTTACTACTTCGAGTGTTTCTCACTCAAGTGAAAGCCTGTCATTAAAACTGTCATTAACTCCTGTTAAACCTTGCTCTACAAGTCCAAACACTGCTGTTGATTAGTTTTTTAGTAGTGCGACTTTGTTTTGGAGTATCTTTCCTTTTATTCTACCTGAAGTACTAATCTGGAAAAAGGCAAATGTGTAAAGCGTTTTCTCTGTCAGGTTCAATGTTGTTTTTCCCCATGTAAGCATTTATGTAGCCATACAACATTATACTTCTAGGTTCTTAAATAAATTTTCATGTCCGGTAAGTGTTTGAATGGTGTGTGAGAAACATCCTGGTGGTTAGTATTTTAAATTGGCTCACAGAATAGAGCTGCAGACTGGAAATTTTTAGGCCTACAAATTTATAGTACTAGGTTTCTCTGGATAAGCCTCAGAAAAGAGCTACTGAAACTGATTTTGTTATTAATTAGGTATACATGTCCATGAATGGGTGCGTGCCCACACATGATTGAGGTCAGATTATGTGGTCTGCAGAAACAGTTCCTGTTCTTCCTGCTCTGTCTAAGGGCTTCACAGTGTCCGAGAGGATTAAACAATTGTGAAAACCAGGAAAACAGACTTATGATAACTAACTTGATAAGCAAATTCTGAAATGTCCAGTTAGAATGAACAGTATTACAGATTTCTTTCACCTTTGGTCTGTTGTATGTATGTTGGCTGCAGTTATCTCTCATGATTATAGCCAGACTTTGCAGACATACATGTATTGAATGAAAATTTCCTGAAAAACCCTGTGTTAAAAGTGGAGATTGAGATGAAGGATGGCAGTTTGCATTGCAGGATTTCAGACTTGGGCAGAAAAGTTTGCTTTTATGCTCTTTTGCAAAGTCTTCTTTGAAACTCCATGAGCAAGAATGTTTTTGTTGTTGTTTCAACACTTACACTTGGCATTTTCTAAATTTGAGAGGGTTGGCTAGTCTGCATTTGCATTATTATGACTCCAGGCACTTGGAGGCTGTCGGGGTCAGTGCAGTGAGTTACCATCTCAGTGTAGGGGTTTTTAATCTTTCTACATGAGGGGAACAAAGCAATCCCTAAGCTTTGCTTCATGGAGCAGCTACCAATGATTCAAATAATTATGCTTCTTAGTTGTTTCTGCAGATGTTGAAGGGGGGGGGTTGCAAACAGTAAAGAACCTGAGAAGCCTTTGAAAGCAATTTATTCCACTGTCATTGTGCTATACGGCCCCGGAGATAGCTTTTGCTGAAGTGAAGGGGCCTTTGCCTAGAAAGGAAGCTTGCAGGTCAGGACGGAGGTGAGCTCTGGAGCTGTTTGGGAAGTGCCTGTGCAAGTGACCTCCACGGTTCTCCAGGTGCTGAGGCTCCTTCGTCTGTTACACACGCACGCAGCTGTATAGGGCTTCGGTTTCATCAGTTACGTGGCTGCTACAAATACCAATATTCCTTCTTGTTGGTAGGGGTTAGCAGCAGCAGTACCCTCTAGCCCTGCACAGCCCACCTTTTACTATGAATTTTCTCCTTCAGGCAAAAGCTGCAGGTGACGATGAAGCCATGTTTATCGATGAAAACTTCTGCACCGCCCTGGAGTACGGCCTTCCCCCTACCGCCGGCTGGGGCATGGGAATCGATCGCTTCGCCATGCTCCTCACAGACTCCAGTAACATCAAGGTAAACATTAGTAAAGGCAGAGAACGGGGAATGAGAGTAACGTCTGAGAGTCGTTCAGAGAACCCCACCTCAGAAACGCTCTCCTTTGCTGCACTTGCTTGGGGGCGGCCCTGGCGCCCGCTGACGCTGTCCCTTTCCGCAGGAGGTGCTTCTCTTCCCCGCCATGAAGCCGGAGGACAACAAGAAGGAGGCGCAGCCCGCCGAAGGCACCTCAGGG